TAAGCTTGACCATCTTTCTAAGTCTTGACCGTTATCTTGGGTGACGCCTCGTGGATAACTCATTGTGGAGACTTCTTTGATTTCTTTCTTTCACCTGTATGCGGTGTCTTGCCCCCACTTACTTTTCTTTCCAGTCAAGTCCTCACCCCCAACACTTGAGCCATCCTCTTCCTAAATCCTCAGTTGGTCCTTTGGTTCTCCCGCTTGCCAGAGTCCCAGCTAGAACCACTGAACTGTCTTCCTGCCCTGAACCTATACCCTTGCATCTGAGCATCTCAGCTCAGTGCAATAAGAGAAAACCACATCAACACTGAGATTGGTGCCTCTGTAAATTGATCGTCTCTAAGCTTGAGTGATACCCAGCGACTCCTTTTTGCTTAATGTCCGTATCAGTTCTTTTGCCCATCGTCCCTTCACCTGTTACAAATAATCTCCATGTTCTCTCTGCCTCTAAGCCCACCACTCTTACTCCTCATTCTTAGCAGAGAACCTGGCTTCTGACCCTGCAGACAACACAGAAGCTGTAAGAGAACAACACTGTCAAATCCCATGTCTGCTTTACGTTCATCCTTTCCTCCTTCCTTCCTGTCCTTTGCCTTTCTCAGGGTGGCTTCCTCTACCTGTACTGTGGACTCTATAGGATTCATAGCTAATATTTATTAACTACTGATTTCTCAGCATTGGATCCTCCACCCAATAAGGACTAGAATTACTTTGAGTCTATTTTCAGATGAGGAAATTGAGGCTAAGAGAGGTCGAGCGCTTGTTCCATAGGTGTAGAAGCACCAGGATTTGATCTGGGCTAGGCTAATTCTGGAGCCCTAGCTCTTAGCCGTTGGACTATTTTTTTCTTCTTATGCCCACTCAGTGTCCCCTGAGATATCCCAACCTTGCCGAAGTTTTGTATCCCCTCTCTCTTCTGGCTTGTTTATACTGGGATTTAAATATACACGAGTTTCTTCCAGTTACCAAAATAAGCACCCATCATCCTAAAACTACCATCTCCCCTTTATAACTAAAATTACCAAGAAAACTCCACCATATCTACATTCACAGTCTCCACCTTTCTCCCACTCACTCCTCAGCCCACTGCCGTATAGCCCCAGCCCACAAAGGTCACTCCAAAGCACTGGTGACCTCCATGTTGCTAAGTTCAATGAGTTCTCCTTGGGCTCTATCTTGAATGACATCTGAAGCACTTCATACTACCAATCCCTCCTTTCTGGAAATGCCCCTTTCCTCTGCCTACCTGTTCTGATCTCTATGTTTTTAATTGCTGCTCACCCCTAGCCCATCCGAAGGCCAGTTCTGCTAGTCACAGCAGTGTCTGTGTGCTTCCAGACTTCGCACTAAAGTTCCTTCATTCAACTTTCACACATACATTTTGGGTAGCCTCATCCACTCCTTTGTTTTCAGTTCCTGTCTAGATGCTGGTGAATCCCAAGTGATAAAAGGCCTGAATAGCTTTGACTACTGGACAGCTCAATTTGGATGACTCTGGAATCATTAGATGCAGCATGTGTAAAGTTGAGCTTACCTTCTTGAAGGCAGGCGAGAGAAGAGATTAAAATTGTAGGCTTTAGAATCAAGAAGGATTCTGCCATTTATTAGCAGTAGAGCCATTTCTCACATGTAAAATGGGGTGACGATGGGCCCTAGCACACAAGCCATTGTGAGAGTTAAATGCAAAGTACGCGGAACCAGATATATTGTGACTCTTCAGTGGATGTTAACTCCCACCCTTGCCCTCACCACCATGAGTGCTAGCACCAGTACAACTCCCATTGCTACTCCCCCCCCCCCGTCCCCCAGCTGGCCCCTTCCCCAGTGCTCCTTTTTATCTCAGTGGATCGCAGCAGTAAGAGGCAACACTTTAGCACCCAATATGTGCAACAGGTGCTCTATAGGCATTTTGCATGTATTAGTATCTCATTGGAGCCTGGCTATAACCCTTTGAGGTAAGGCTTGTTATTTTCTTCAAATTCAATTAAAGTTCAGCAAATCCAAGGTTAAATAAGTCATTACATAGTCTCATAACAACTAGAATTTGTAAGCAGTCAGACCTACTGACCTCTTAGCTCAGCCTCTCTGCACTTCTGCCTTCCCACCTCCTATGTAACCTGGCCAGAGACCTGAGGGTCATCTTTGACTCTCCCTTTCTCATCACAACCCCCAACAAAATGCAGCTAGTTACCAAGTTCTGTCAACTCAACCTCCTGAATATCAGACGATATCTCCATTTCTTTATCCCAGTTATCCTAGGTCCTGCCTCCATCATCTCTTATTTACATGACTACAACAGCCTCCTAATTTGTTTCTTGGCTTCTCATATTGTTCCCCTCCCACCTTTCGTCTACAAAACACCACACCATCTATTTTTCAAAAACTCTGTTCCAAGGCACTTTGCTGCCATCGTCTTTAAGGTCAAGTTTAAAGTCATTATTAATATAACTTCAAGGCCCTTCCCTGTCTGGCTTCTGTTGTCCTATTGAGCTTCATGTCGTCCCTCTTCCCCCATAGAAAGTCAAGATCTGGCTATATTGAGCTTCTCTTGAATTTCTATATCATGCACGAGGAAGAATGGTGGAACTTAGATGTAGCTTCCCTAGGGTAGCTTGCCTTGATTCTAGGCACTTCCAAATTCTGAGTTAGTACCCTGTTCTGTATGTTATAACTCTGAGTTCCTCCTCAGTCCTGGCTTGTGACACACTGGGTGCACCCCTTGTATTTATGTGATTGTCACAAAGTGGGAGCTTCATGGGGTCAGGGAGCACATCTCTTGTGCAGACTGTTGTATCCTCTGTGCTAGCACAGTGCCTTACACTGTGCTTACTAGAAAAAAAAGTAGGTACTCAGAGTGTCATGTTAGAGATGAAGATATTAAAACTTACACTTTATGACCTCCTGAAACTATATAGCTCTTTAGCAACAATTGTAGTCAGCAGTACAGATTTTTAGTACCAAACTTCAATTCATATCCTTCCTCTGCTACTTAACTGCTCTAAACCTGTTTTTCATTCTATAAAATGGGATGAGAAATGTGTCAACCTGCTAGGGTTGAGGGAACAAAGTGTGGGTGTTGCATGCTGAGTGCCTAGCCCAGCGCCTGCACTTCGTAAGCAGTCCTTAGGTGATAGCTAGGCTTTCATTCGCACTTGGGTCTCCCAGCACTGAGTAGCATTTGGCTTATGACCACATGCTTGTGACATTGTCGCAGTAGTATCTACCGATGGTCACGCTGAACTGTTGTTCACAGAAAATAAAAATAGAAAATAAAGACAATTCCATTAGGGAAATTCTCTGGTTTTGAAATTGTTTTATCCAGGTACTCTTTTTGACTGTATAAATATCTCAAGAAAGACTAAACTGTACCAAAGTCTAAAAATATATACTAGGAAACATTCCCAAAGTTCTGTTTATCATTATATAAAAAAGAATGATCATATATTAACTTTAATGAAGCCCTATACCTACTTAGTATAGTGATATATGTGTTGGACCCAGGAACTGGCAAAAACTTTTTATATACATATATTTATGTGATTGTTTCTCATGGGTGGCAATGCCTATAATCTACAGATTATTTTCTTTTGATAGGAAGATAAATATAACCCTAAATGACAAGTTTTAATGAAGGATTTAATACTTTTATTGTATATGATGAATTGGAGCATTGCTCATAAAATGAATTAATTGAGGATATTTTGGAAGCAGGCGGCCATGGGTTCACATCTTGGCTCCACCACCTCTTACTATTATGACTTTAGATGGATTTTCTCACATATCTGAGTTTTGGTTCCTCATCTGTGAAATGGAGATACTGTTTGCTATCTTAAGAATTTGCTAGGAAGACAAAGTAAGCGAACATGTGTAAATCTCTCAGCATGGCATTCACTTCTGCTTACAAAAGCCATCAGACATCTTACTCTCAATATTAGCCCAATTTCAATTGGTAACAGGCTATTTGAAATACTGGGGGTGCCAAAAAATGTATACAAGTGGATACTTTGGTCAACATTTCTCAAGCAGTAATTTGTAATCAGAAGTGTCTGGACGCTGATGGTAACCACTTTGAGCACCTCTTGTAATGTAATTGCAGAAGTCAAACTTGACTTGTATTCATCTTTTGTTATCGGTGTATATTGACTATTTCAATTTTAATACAGTTTTCCTTTCTTAAAATGTGTATATTGGGTTGTTGGAAAAGTCATGATGCATTTTTGCAACAAAAAACAGAAAAAATAGGTCATGGCTTTTCTGACAACCCAATACATTTTTTGGCACCCTCTGTGTGTGTTAGCTTATTGTGAAGGTAATTGTTGCCAATCTGGATTTGTACATTTTCCAAGGAAAACAATTGATGGTGCATTTTTCCATAGTTCAACTTGTTAGATGTATCTGCTGTCTACCACAACAGGAACATGTGTAAGTTTAAGAATTATAGTCCATGCTGTTTAATAGGAATAGTGAAATCTTGCAGTAATTAAATCTAGTATTAGAGAAAAAAACAACTTTTGTTACCAATAGTTTAGCAAGTTGTCTTAAAATTCTCAAGGGCCCAGCTCCCTTTATTTTGCTACCACTGTGGTAAATGTGTTCATGATCTGTATAGCCCCCAGTAATCCCTATATCATATAACTACTAGTTACAAGACCATCTTGACGAACTTACGTGCAGTATAACTCTGAAGTAGTAAAAATATGAATGTGACTACTGTTCACCATTATTGGTACTCAGTTATTATTAGTGCCATAATTATCATGGGAAGTGTGCAAAACATAACAGAGCTAACTCAAGTGTTTGCTTCAAGAAATTATTGGGAAGTGTGGTATTTATAAAAAGACATTTCAATTTATGCATGGCTATTGGCTTTTAAGTACCTTACTGCTTTTCTCCTGATGTTTCTTCTGGTTAATTATTTTAATTGATGTCTGTGCTCTCTCTCTCTCTCTCTCTCTCTCTCTCTCTCTCTTTCTCTTTCTCTACTTACCTCCTGGCAGTCTTTGCCCTATAAAAGGACCCATCTGTCTAAGGTAGAGATTCTCCATTTTTATTTACTCATCAGTAACTAAGCTGCATAGAGTAGACATGCTTATTATCATTTAGAAGTCTCCTTTAACTCTGCTTTTTCAGTACAGTGGTGTTTTGTTTGTTTTTCTTTAAGTAAAATATGTTCTTTTCAGTCTGAATTCAAGCACCCAAAAGTATGTGTTAATTTCTAATCATGGTCATAGAGCAAAGTATACATTTTGAATTTGCTAATCCATAGTAATGAAAAATAGTACTCGAATAACTGATGCTCTGTAATACATAACTATTGAGAGAGTAAAAGAGAGAGGAAAGCTCTTTTAGCAAAGTGACTCATTTTCATTTGATTTTATTAGACTTGAATTTGAGCGGCAACAGCGTGAAGAACTTGAAAAATTAGAAAGTAAAAGGTAAGCCACGTGGGGTATGAGTTTTAATAGTACTGTAGTTGCAGATTCATGTGTTAATGTCCTGGACTGATTTCATCTGTGTTTCAATACCTCTCTCTGGCTCTGTGTCTGCTATTTACATGTCTAATGACTAGGTCATTTCTCTTCAGCTTGTTAGTTTTTCAAACTTCATGTTTGAATTTTTTAAATAGTTCATTTTCAAATACTTATGAAAAAGGAGAGTCAGTAGGCAAATTTAATATACTCATTAAATTTAATACACCAAATATATACTTGTTTAAATTTAACTTAAAGGTATATCTTTAAAAATATCTGACAAGTTTTTAGAAAGCTGAAAGAATGACAATTCCCCTTCCTTATGCCTCCCCCCTTTTAAACATATTTTCTTTTCTTATATGCTAGTTGGCCATTTGTATTTCCCTGTATAGTTAATTCACCTCTTCATATTCTTTGCTCACTTTTCTTTTGGGGTGTGTGTGTGTGTGTGTGTGTGTGTGTGTGTGTGTGTGTGTGTGTGTTTTGGAGAGTTTTTTATATGTTCTGCATATAATTATTTGATAAAATTGTATTCTTTTCTTTTTTTCCTGACCTATTTAACAATACAAGAAATGAACCAAGGGTAGATATTGGAGTAGAAACTAAGGCCATAGATAATCTACAAATTGGGTATTTATTTTCTGGAATCTTGAGTTCAGATAAATTAGTTTCCAGCATCATAAATGATAGATCCTTTGAGGGTCAGGAGATGGAGGCCATGTACCAATACTCTTACATACCCTGTGTTCTTGCTTTGGCCGCCATCCCGACCTCCAAACACTGATTTAGCACCCAGTGGGGGTCATTTGTTTTAGACAAAACATGACATGTAACCCCTGGAGTCATGCATTTAAGTATTTTAATGGAGACTCTGTTAATTTCAATGTTATGTATTAATAAACTAATATTTTGGCCATTTGGTGATTACCATTTTTCCTAAACTAGTGTTTAAATGCTAAATAGCATGTAGTTATTTGAGCTGGAACAATGAACTGTTGATTATCTTGACTTTGATATTTGACCCCAATGAGTTGAGGGCAGCATAAGCATTTTTATTTAATGTCATCTCTTAACTGAATTTCTGTTGCTTAGTAGCCATTGGACTGAATAAAATTATTCACATTTAAATTTAAATTGTGCATGGTTCTTTCTCTCTGAGCTCAGGGGGCTTGTAAAATTATATCATGCATAACACATTATGCTTATAGACTCTACAAAGAAATGATATCAGAGGCTACTTCAAGAAATTAGGCAAATGATATGTTGGACAGTTACAGAGTAAAAAAAATTCAACAGCCTGCTGCTGAAAATGAAAAGGAAAACAGTTCTCCCTCATTTTTATTGTAGTGAAGGGTTTGGCTTTATATTGTATATTCATTTTCAGAACATTTTAGTTAGGGGAAAGTTACAGCAACATTTGAACACAGTGATCAAAAAATGATCCGTCAACATTTTGCATTTCAGGAAACTAATAGAAGAAATGGAGGAAAAGCAAAAATCAGACAAGGCGGAACTGGAGCGGATGCAGCAGGAGGTGGAGAGTCAGCGCAAGGAGACGGAAATCGTCCAGCTCCAGATCCGCAAGCAGGAGGAGAACCTCAAACGCCGCAGCTTCCACATCGAGAGCAGGCTGAAGGACCTGCTCGCTGAGAAGGAGAAGTTTGAAGAGGAAAGACTGAGGGAGCAGCAGGAAATCGAGCTGCAGAAGAAGAAACGAGAAGAAGAGAGCTTCCTCCGGGTCAGAGAAGAACTCCAACGGCTGCAGGAACTCAACAACAATGAGAAGGCCGAGAAGATCCAGATATTTCAAGAACTGGACCGACTCAAACGGGAAAAAGACGAACAGTATGCCAAGCTTGAATTGGAGAAAAAGAGGCTGGAGGAGCAAGAAAAGGAGCAGGTAGTGCTCGTTGCCCATCTGGAAGGGCAGCTCCGTGAGAAACAGGAGATGATCCGGCTCCTGCGGCGAGGGGAGGTGCAGCGGCTGGAGGAGGAGAGGAGGGACCTGGACCACATCCGCGAGTCCCTTCTGCGGGTGAAGGAAGCCCGGGCCGAGGGCGATGAGGACGGTGACGAGTTAGAGAGGGCGCAGCTGCATTTCTTAGAGTTCAAGAGAAGGCAGCTCATCAAGCTCGCCAACTTGGAGAAGGACCTGGTTCAGCAGAAGGACCTCCTGAAAAAAGAGGTCGAAGAAGAACAGGAAATCCTGGAGCGTTTAAAATCCGAAAATGAAGAGGAATTCAGGTTGTTGGAAAAAAATAACGATAGTGTCACAGATGTCGCCCATGTGGCTCAAGATTTAGAGAAAATAAGGCCAGTAGAGTGTCGGCTGCAACATAAAGAACGCCAGCTCCAGTTCCTCCTGCAGGATCACTTGCCAACTCTGTTAGACGAGAAGCAGCGAGCATTGGAAATCCTTGATAGAGGCCCTCTTGGCTTAGACAACACACTATATCAAGTAGAAAAAGAAATGGAAGAAAAAGAAGAACAGCTCGCTCAGTACCAAGCCAATGCGAGCCAGTTGCAGAAGCTCCAAGCCACCTTTGAATTCACTGCCAACATTGCACGTCAGGAAGAAAAGGTGAGGAAAAAGGAAAAGGAGATTCTGGAGTCGCGGGAGAAGCAGCATAGGGAGGCGCTGGAGCTTGCTGTGGCCCGGCTGGAGAGGAGGCACTCGGCCCTGCAGAGGCGCTCCACCCTGGACCTGGAGATCGAGGAGCAGAGGCAGAAGCTGGCCACCCTGAACAGCAGCAGCAGTGAGCAATCAGGGCTCCAGGCCAGCCTGGAAGCTGAGCGGGAAGCCCTGGAGAAGGACCGCGAGAGGTGAGACGGGAATGCAAGAGCGTGGCAAAGCGTCGTGCTGGCGCGCCTTTTACCCACCGAGTGTGCCTCGCACTGTCTTCTTAAAAATGAATTCGTTTAGCTTTTATAGTCTCTAGGACAGGGGGCGGCCAAACTTCTGAGACGGAAGAGCCAACCCTGTCCCTCACAACGATTTACAAATTATTCGAGAGCCATAAAACAAATGAAATCACCATTATGTGAATAATATCCTTTAAAAATTTTATAAATGAAACTAGGATAGTTTTATTTTCATTTTCAATTTTACTTCAGAGCCACATGTACGTACCCAAAGAGCCACATGTGGCTCACGAGCCGCAGTTTGCCGACCCCTGCTCTAGTACACAGCCCATTTGCTTATTTTACCAAACCTGAGAAAAATGCCCCTAAACGTTCTTTACTTGCTCTTTAGGATCCTTGTTTTAGAATCATTGGCCTCAAGTTGAAAACAAACACACAAGCAAAAACAAAGCCCTTGTTCATTACCCTACTGACTTATTGAATGTATATGTTTTAATATTTGATAAATAGGAAACACTAAAAGCTTCCAGCTTTGATTCCTTCTTCCTTTCCCTTTTCCCTTCTGGTCTGTCCCTTCCCTTCCATTTTCTTCCTTCCTCCCTCCCTTTCCGTCTCCCCTCTCTCCCTCCTGCCCTTCTTCCCCCGCTTTGTTTGTTCTTTCCTTCTCTCCCTCCTTCCTCTCTTCCTCCTTCCTCCTCTGCTTCCTTCTCTCTTTCCCTCCCCCCTCCTCATCTATGGCTTCATGTCTTCTTCCTGACTAGCCCCAGTTACAGTAAAGCCCCCCTCCCTGACTCCACCTTCACAGATTGCAGAGTGTACTGATTTCCACACCTGGTAGGGAAGGAAACAATACTTCTCACACCCTGATGATTCACAGTATTTGAGGGGAGGCCCCGGGATACTGTATTAAAAAGTAAACAACTAAACAAAACTCTCCAGATGATTCTGAACACAGTGATATGCTCAAGCATGTTTGATGATGATTTATTAATATTGCTGTTGATGTGAAAAATAAAACCAGGAACTAACACTATTTTCATGGTAAAGAAAGAATATTTATCTTTTTTTTACCTATCCCGTTACCTGCTTTTCACACAGTAGGTTCTCAAAATGAATAAATATAGGAATTTGAGAACTCTTTTTTTCTGGTAGCCCTGCACACATGATGCCAAGACTCCCAGAAGGGCTGAGGGCTGCCTGTAATGCAAACATCACCCAGTGTGTTGTCCTGCATGGGGTCTCCATGGGTCAGCCCAGCCCTATCTGCCTTGCTGACCTTGGGCAGGATTTTCATCATTGAGCTGTGGTATCCTCACCCTTACAGGAAGGGGTGGACAAGATCAGGGGTCTGTGTGTTTTCTTAGCTCCAGACCTCTGGTCAGTGGATATCTTAACTGTAGCCCAGGTTGGAGCACCTGGACCACTGCTCCCTCCCTAGTATTTCTCCCAACCACAGCCACTCTTGAGGGTCTGCAACAGAAACCCAGTCTGCTGCTTCTAGGAGCCCAGCTTGACATTGGCCCAGGCCTGGAAGCCATGCCGGTGATAAGGCAGGGCCTACTCTGAGGTGTGGCTGGAGCCCATCCACCATCTTGCCTGAAAAGGTCAGGACAACCTCCTTTCAGATGATCTGCTTATACTGTGGATTCTATTTACAGTTGCTCTCTGATAGTTCCCTCAGGCAAAACGGCAACAAATAACAATCAAAAACCATAATGCTGTTACTTCAGAGAAATAGGTCGGAGGTTTAAGAAAATGATTGCAGGTATGTTATGTAAATGAAATTGCTGGTCAAAGCTCCAGCCCCAGGAAATTTAAAGTAGCGGAGGGCGCGCTCTCAATTTGTATCCTGCAGTGTATAGTAAGAATGCAGCATGAGCTTTTAGCTTGATGTTCCTGGCTTTTGTCACCCGGCTTGGCTCTCTGGCCAGTTAGTGTTAATACTCTATTATAGCGGATACAGTGTGACTTCCATGGAGGTGATTTCCGGTCGTCAGCATTCCTCCAGGTACACGAAGGAGGCTTTTAGCTTCATGTGTTTTGATGGAGTAGACTTTGCTAAGACCTAATGTAGGACAGCAAATGTGAGCTCTTTGCTCTAGCTGTGATGCTTCTGTGGTTTTCTGTGAGTGTTTAGTGTTTTATTATCTCTCTGGGTTTACATGGCTAAGCCAGGGCTTGCCGTACAGCCTGACTTGTCCACTTGTGAAATTCCACAAGTGTGAAATATTAAATTCATGTGAAACCAGATTGGACAACAGTGCAACTGAACTTGACTTTCCCTTCCAGCTTGCTTTATGAGCAAAATCTAATCCATTTTCTGTCTTCTTTTCCACCCATTGATTATATAACCATCAGGGACAAGTGTCAGGCAGTTAGAAAGTGGCAGAGCTGCAACTTGAATCTATAATAGATCTACTTACCACCCAACTGTTCACCACTTTTCCTCTTGTCTGCTGATCACAGAGCTGCTGCCCTGGCAGGCCTGTTCATGTGTGCTGTGACTCTTTCTGTAAATCCTGCTCAGCCTTCAGAGCCCCACTCAAACCCTGTTGCTCTGTGGAGTCTCTTCCACTGTCCCAGCCCTCAAGAATGTCTTTGAACAACTCCAGTGGGCGTCATCTTAATTATAAACATCGGCAGTTACCTACTTATATCCGGCTCATTTTCCTTCCGATCTCCGAGACTCTGTTAATATTGTTACCTGGTTCTTGGCTGACCACCTGGCCCTTAACATCACTCTATTATATTTATTTATTCCCTCCTCCTTTGAAAATGTTATGTGCTCTGCAAGTTGAATCTCAGTAAGTACTCGCTAATCAGTAGACAGGTGAAGGGCTGAGTTAAGCAGGGCATTGCTTCCCATGGAACCCATGAGTGCTGACCTTGGTGACCCCATAATCCCATTTTGATATTTAAGAACTTGGCTTTCATGTTCAAGATAGAGCAGTCAGTTGCTGCTGTTGACATCAGAGAGCAGGCAGTATCATGGTGTGTTAGCATCTGAAGATAAAATCCCTGATTTTTGGAGCTGAAGGAAATTAGACTAGTTGACTTTCTCATTTGATACATGAAGAAACTGAGACCCAGATTTTATTAACTTGCCCCAGTTCACATAGCGAGTGAATTCTAGCCCCTAGCTGGATCTTGTGTTCCCTGGGGCCAAATTTACTGGCAAGCTTGGTCCTCTAGCCTGATGGCCCTGGATTTAAGTGTGCCTTGGCCAGTGGGAGAACAGCCTTACAGACATTTGACCTCATATTAGATGTATCATTTATCATTGGAAATACATGTTTGGTTCCACAGTTTATGGTTTATCTGAGTTTCTCAAGATCGCCTACTTTCCTAGGTCTCTCACTGGTTTGCCTTTTCACACCCTCTGCCCCAGCCAGAGTGGATTTGTGATTTTCCTGGCTTAGCCTCTTTGTTCATAGTGCTTTCTGTATCTGGAAGAACCCTCCACCACATCTCCAAATGTCCAAATTTTCACTGGCTTCTGAAGCTTGAACTTAGAACTACCTTCATCATGAAGGTTCTCCTACATTGGTGGTTTTAAAAAACTCTTTAAAGCACAGATCTCTTTCCTGATATATAGTACACAACTGCTTTATTGAAGCCAGGGCAGGGGCCTCAGAAGCCTGCACATCTACCTCTGAGAATTTGCTTGGAGCACAGTGGGAATATCTTGGACCTTGAAGGTAAAACTCAACTTTTGGATGCTTATCACACTTGCTCTGAACCCCTTTTGTGACCCATTATCATCTTATGTGTTGTCTTATAGTTATGTGACATCTTTTCTATTATAAGGTAAAGCTGTTTGCATAGCGTTTGTGTCTGAATCCCCCATGATTTCTAGAATAATGTTCCAACCAGTGACGATTCTCAGGAAATACCGTTAATGGATGAATATTCATGTAACTCCCATCTCTGTAGATTGGAACATGAAATCCAGCAGCTGAAGCAAAAGATCTGTGAGGTTGATGGTGTTCAAAAAGGGCATCGTGGGACCTTGGAGGGGAAGGCTGCTTCTTCCAGCCTGTCATCCAGTGCTGAAGAATCTCACCTGGTTCCTCTGATGGATGCCAGGTACTGGACATTAAATTGATGCCATGCCTACTTTTCTGTTGTGATTTAATGAATCACTACCTCGTATTGGCCAGTTTGCATATGGAGGGATCTGTCAAAGGCAACAAGTAATCTTGTGTCTTTGAGATGTGCTTTGTCTCCATCAACCTCTGTCTGTGGCTAGTGGTGGGTTGAGGTATCATTTCAAGGGAAGCAGAGACCTCAGAACTGGCCACTAAATCCAAGGAATGCTGGTACAAGGAGTTTGATGAGAAGGTAGAATTGGAAGGTCCAGGGAAACCAGCTAATACAGAAAGGAGTGATGCAAGGCCAAGATGAGAGGAACAAAGAAATAGAGTTAGTTGAATTGTACTAGGAAAGAAGGACCTTGTGCTGACAGTTAATTTGTAGAAGTCATTGATTGCAAATAGATGATGTCTGTTACAAAACTACCAGTATATTCAAAATGATCACGAATAACATAAATATCTGATGTAACTACAGTAAAATTATTTTCAGCTTGGGTGGCATTGTCAATTGCTCTGTGGCTTAGAGCTCTCAGATAAAGTGACTCAATCATTCTTTGCCTATAAGAAACTTAATTATTTTTTAAACCCCGTCTATGTCATGAGATTATTTCAAATTGTGCATTTCTGAGCCCTGGGTATTAGGAGATATGTATTTGGATATCAAAATATAGTCAGAATTGCATGAGCCTCTGTAGCTCTTTAAATCTGGTTCTGCATGTTCCACAAGGCTAGTTTAAATTTTAAGTAAAAGTCTGGGGAGGTAATTCATTTGTAAGTGGCCTTTGCTCAGATTCAGTTGCACATGATTTTATTTTCAATACTGAAAGGTAAATGTGTACTTTATTACTGAAAGGTAAATGTGTACTTTATTACCCTAACTCCATTCTTCCAGACTTTTTTACCTAAAATACTAATGTCTTTAGCATTTCAGAAAATCATTTTGCCATGGTCAGTAGTACAAAAATTTTTTAGGGCTATGCATGTATTTAGAAAGGTGGAACCAGATTTTATTTTTGTGCAGTAAGATATAAATATGCAAAACTGTACATTTTGATTAATTCAGCTACTCAGTGCCTGTAGACCTGTGGGAGGGGAGAGTTTGGAGCTGAGTAAGACTTCCATCTGGGCAGTCTGAGCCACATGTAAGATTTTATTTTTATTTATTTATTTATTTTTATTATTTTTTTTTAGCTGAGCCATCCTGCCACATGTTGGCAGCTCAGCGGCAGCTCAGCTCGGGCTGGGAATTGAACTGCTGTTGCTCAGAGCTCGTACTTTTGAGCGAGCTCTTAACCAACTGAGCCGCTCGGGTGGCCCTCACATGTAAGATTTTAGATGGAAATAAAATTCTGTAGTCTCCTTGGTTCCTCTGGGTGGATGGTTGTACTTCATATAATTTCACCTACATTCAATGGGGCTTGAAATACTCAGTTGACAATTGCCTCAAAAGTCCACTGTTTCTGGTTTCCACTGTCTTGGTTGCTGTGCCAAGCATTTTGGAAGATAGAGACCTTTCAAATGTCCTCTCTCCTGGCCAGGTACAGATAACCCAGTTGGAGAGACAAGGCAGAACAGGGACAATGCTAGACATTGTTCCATCTGAATAGTGAAGATTTGCAAAGATTATGCTTACTTCTTTTTTACTTTTAATCCTCTAAAATGACTTCGTGTTCTGAGCAATAACTATCACTTTTTTCTGTGTGAAGAAACCAGGGCTCAGTGGTTCGAGGCTATGGAGCCTTCAGAAACCAGTGTCTAGGATTCTGCCCTACCTTGTAGCGGGGGTTCTACTAAGGAAATCCAGGAGAGAGTTGGATGGGATCACTTAGTCCCCCTTCCATTCTCAAGATGCTGTTATCCATCCAGTTCTCTCTCACTTGGGGAAAACACAGATAGTGACCACATGGCACTGGATTTCTTAGAAAGTAGAAAAATGTTTTAAGGTCCTGAGATGTTACTATGTTTGGCATTTAAAATGAGGACGTTCCCTGTTATAAAGGTCATAGTCAAAAAAGATCTCAAATGTCCTGTGTGGTTAGAAGTGTTCAAGTACCCCAGTCTCCATTGTTTCCAGGGTCAGTGCTTATATTGAAGAAGAAGTCCAAAGACGTCTTCAGGATTTGCATCGTGAGATTGGCAAGGACAGCGATACATCCACAGATATAATGAAGGTGAGCTAGAGGAGCCAAGTAATTCAGTCATTGATTTTCAAGATAGCCTTTCAGTAAGTTATTAGTGGTGATGGTAGGATCTTTTATTACTGTTTGTCAGTGAGAAAATTGAGATGCAAATGTCCTAGAAAAATTAAATATTGCTTGGGTGGAGCCTAACAGTTCACGAATAGTATTAGTTCAAGAGTAACTTCATTTATTTTAAAGTTTTGAACTTCTGGGAGAACTTCTTAAGTGAATATAAAGTTTCCTAAAATGCTGTATATACTTTCTTTGATTTATAAAAATTCTACATGTAACATATTCCCATTTTCTCTAAAAACAGAAACAATTTCCATTAAGTATTTAATTTGCTTGATCAATAATCCCAAGTAGAAATATAATTTTACCTTTGAGAAGGTACGTATTTGCCACAAGTTGATTTTTATCAAAATAAAAACCTTTCATTTCTATCCTGTAAATATAAAAAGCATCCTAAGGAAATCTTGCTTTTAATATTATTCTTAGAATTTTAAGATTCAGAATAAATGGTTCAGTTCTCCTATGAGCAGATGTATTGATAGAGTCATGTTTACACTGGAATATAATTTCTGTAGGAGTCTTGTCATTGAAATAAGTATGTTTCTTTAGAATTTTGTTCCATAAATATTTCTAATCAAATCAATTTCCCCACTTTATGAACACACTATAATTTAATATAAGGGTTTTTTTTAAAATCTTCTTTTCAGAATAATGAGAAACTTCACAATGGCACCATTCAACGTAAGCTAAAATACGAGGTAGGTAATGCTTTTTCAGATTGATAGGGTCGCCTTAAATTATGGCATGCTCATATGATTAAATTTTCTTAATGTTTAGTTGCATAATTAGAATTTTAAAGTCCCAGTGAGATTAATGGCTAATAGGGAAGGCAAGCTATTATATGGACTAAAGATTAAACGAATCCTGCAGGTTGAAAACTGCTTTGACTTTATTTGAATGGCATGTAGCTGTGGTGGAGGGGCTTTGCCCAGTTTTTCATTCGTAACAGTATCCTTTCCCTTGGTCTGCATTTAAAAAGCAGAATTATATAATCAGAATCAGATATGTGGTTTGGAAATGAAACTGAGTATTTCTCAATGTTTTAAAAACCCAGCTCCTTTTACAGACTGAGTTGGCAGTAGGACAAAGGAAATGACTCTCAGTTATTTCTCTGGTGGATTGTCAAACCAAGGTTTATTTGGGCATACAGTTTGTAAGGGTTTACTTGTATTTTTCTCCACTGAGAGACTTGTCCTTCCCATATATTCTTAAATTATAAAAAACAAAACAGAAAAAACCAAAACTACTATGTGGTATAAATCTTACAGGTGGTGTTCCTACGTCACTGAACAGAGAGTGAGAGGTGAAAGGGTGGGTGTTCCACAGTAGGCTTACCTGACTTTGGCCACTGTCATGCCCTCCTTGTAATCATCCAGTAATGACATTATGTGCTCTGGACATCTCTTTAGCCAAAACCTCGTGAAGAGCAGGACACATTGCCTTTCATTTCTTAGTATCCATAGTGCCTGGCCTTTCCTGGTGCTGGTTTGTAGATATGGTACTAGTAGTCTAACCAGGCAGATTCAATTAAGGATTCCCCTATAACAAACGAAGAGGCAAGAGAAACATGACTTGGGTTGGAGTACTTGTCAGTTTCTTTTGGCCTTGCTATCTGTCTGATTTTAGCTAAGTATCCCAATTTATATTGTGGACATGGACTCTTATATGGTCATGGAATCTTTCACAATTAAATTAGACCTTTTGAAAACTGACCCCAAGGTCTTAGGATTTATTTTAGAGTAAATGAAATATTAGACCAAGAAATGGATACTGTGGATCAATTTCATACAAAGTATTTCTGTAAAAATACTCAGCAATTTATAAGGAATCTAATATGGAAATTGATGTTCTATGTGTGAATTTGATTATATATTTTTAAATCATGTATCAATCAATCAGAATGGCTTAGGCTTTCCTTAAACCTCCAAATCAATCCACACAATGTAACCAATGACTGCAAGAATCTTCATGTGCAAACGAATCGCAAAAGCTGCTACCACACCCCCATTTCAACTGTTTTTGACATCTTGAACAGAAAGAGTGTCTTGTCCCGCTGCTGCCTAAAGATGTCACCGACACTTCCAGCACAGAGGAGCGGAGGGAGATAGAGCAGGATGATCCCATGACATGGAGCATCTCAGGCCCTACACCTTCCTCCTCAGCATCACAAGAGAGAAGCCAGCAGTGCAGAGGTCAGCCCTCAGCACAGGAGGTGCTACAAAGCAGTGACTGCAAATCTAGTCATCCTGAGTATATGGGTGGATTTCAGCCAAGATGTTTCAATCTATCTGAAATCTGTTTTCTTAATGAAAGCAACACCAGCAATGCAGAACATTTTCAGGGTACGTCAGAAAATTGTAGTGAGCTGATGACTCATAAAGATGAACACAGCTTGGGAATCAGGTCCAGCTGGATTTTGCTGCAATATACGTCCCAAGGAGTGTCTGTCAACAGTGGAAGCAAGCAGACCAGCCAGAGCGAGTTACTCTGCTGTGTTCTCTCTGAAAATGTGTGTAGTGAGGAGAGTGCGCCCGCCTCCAAGTTTTATAGAGAGCAGCACACTGAAAAAGAGTTATCTGCTAAAAAAGTTAGCTCTCCAGAGTCACTGGTAACTACCAGGACAGAAGGAAACACTGGATTGGGATATTTTTACCACAGGTTCTCAGACCTTTATAAAGATACCAGCAGTTACCTGCTACAGGCTGGCACAAACGTGATCAGCCAAGGCAGGCACATGGGGAGCCTGTGGGACCCCAGTGGGCTCACCTCCCACGTAACAAGATTCATCAAAAAGTTGCCATTAATGAAACATTTACCCCTGGACACGCTCTTGAAGTCACCCTGGATGTCATCAGAATCTCATTCTTTTCCCACAGAAGATCAGGTTAGCAGCAGTAATAGTGAAGAGGCAGCGGCCATTAGGCCTGCAGAGAGCACAGTGCCTTACAGAGCGCCAGGCTCTACAGCCACAGAGGTACCAGGTTTCTTGCCGAGCTCAGTTGTCCGCCTGGAGTATGAAGATGCTAGAAGCAGCTCTGCATTTAAGCAGAACCTTGTACAATTCCCAGATCAAATGCTGAAACTCCAAGGATACCCTTCAAAAGACTTCCTTGAGCATGTGGCTTGTTCTCTACCAGAACTTTTGGGTGGCATGCACGAAGTCAGAGGCATTTACTGGCTTGCTGTTGCTAACTGTGCAGAGCCTGACCCCCAGCCAGCGTGTCTGCTCCTGCTTCCTTCAACTTTATATGCTTTGGTTCTGTCAGATGATCACCTGAGCTCCATGGGCATTTTTCATGCTCTACCTCTTTCTGCACTACAGGAGATTCAAATTGGCTTTGGCGGGCAGCACATTCGATTCCTGAGCTCTGCAGAGAGCCTCCTCCTCACTGTATTTTGTTACAACAAAGACCTCTGTCAACAGATATGCCGTGACCTCCTGGGTTCCCTGATGCCCAAGTCTGATGCTGCTGCCTGCACTAATCACCCTTTGCTCCAGCACGATCTGGTTCAGCTTTCTCTTGATTGGAAAGCAGAGGTCCCTGATTTAGTTTTGTCAAGTGGAGTTCGGTTGTCATCCAAATTCCACAATACTTTGGTTGACATGATTTACTTTGTTCATGGAAATATGGAAGTCAACATCCCCTCCCTGTCGGAGGTTCAGTTACTGCTCTACACGACAGTCAGAGTTGAAGGTGACTCTAGCCAAGGCCACTGCCAGTCACTGGTCCTTCTGAACTCCCACATTGCACTTGTGTGGGAAGATCGAGTTTTCTATCCACGCTGTCAGTGTCAAAACACACCTCCTCCACGAACACGATTTGATGTGATCAAATGCCGCGCTTTAAGTGAACTCAAGTGCATCATTGTTCCAGAGAAGAAAACATTACCAACAGTCCAACTTGTCTTCTTACAAAAACTCAGACTTCCATCAAATTTAAGAAATAGTCCATCTGAGCGCTCTCACAGAGCCCTGAATGTCCAGAATGTTCAGGTGTTCACCAGCCCATTGTGTCTCCAGGGCAGTCAGAATGTGGCACCTGAAGTCTGGAAACTGACCTTCAACTCTCAGGATGAGGCCCTGTGGCTAATCTCACATTTGACGAGGCTCTAGGGAGGAGACTAGTGAAAATACTCTGCATGTTTGAGAGCTTTAATGAAATGAACATTATGAATGCAGTCAAGGACTCTGAATATCTCAATGTGGCTAATTGATTTGAAACTGGAAAAATGCAGACCTCTAAAATTAAAGATGCAAATATTTTAAATATCTACAATAAAATGAAAATAGTTGATAGCAGAAAACTGATAAAATACCTTGATCAGCACCTTGCTTCATTTTCTTGAACCCTAATCTTGTAAATTTGGGTCCTCCTCATTGTTTGTGAGTGATTAAAGAATTTTTTTATTGTGTTTGGCTTCATGTTGATTTATACTATGGTGGCTTGGAGTCTGTCTGTGCCTGAAAAAGTTCCCGGTCTGGCTGGCAATGAACGTCATTGACATCCTCTCCTTTAGCTATGATGAGGACAGCTCTGTAGCAGTGCACATTAGTGATACATCAAGCCTTCCCAAAGGGGATTTCAAATGCCCTCCCCTCATTATAACGGGTTGAGCGAAGATGCCACGTGCCCTGCAGTGTCTTCTTCTCCATTAATTGCCCTTTCCTTCCTCCCTTCAGACTTCTTGACTGTTCCTTTCCAGCCCTGTGATTTCAGCTCCTTACTTGTTTATCTTTGACTACCTTCCCCCCATGCCACATGTCCCCACATACCAATTCTTTTTCTGAGCTCTTGTATTTCTATCCTAGAAAGGTTCTTCATCTCATCTTACTTTTTCTAATAACTTCTTTATGCTGTCTTATTAGATATAGGGTCACCTCCAAAGGCATTCAACACCTTTACCTGGCTGTCCTCCCTCTTGCCTCCCACCCTACCCATCACTCATAACCTCTGACCAAGGTCTTCTGCTGGCCTGAGCCAGTCAGTGTGCTAGCCTCCCTTCTGAGATGAGTTTACGCCCATGTCAGCCTCAGGTAGGTCTTCTCTCATCATGAAGTACCATCCAGTAGTCATTTGCCCTCCATCTCTGTCAGAGGCTTAAAATGGGCTTCTTCAGAATGTGTCTGTCTTCTGATTGACTCTTTCCTTTTGATCCACATCTGTTCAACATTCTAATAAGGAATCAAGTTACATGTTTTGTGTTTATGTTTTATTTCACCTGACCCTGGGTTGCTCTGCCAGTATGCTTCTGTTTCTTGGGTATGTGTGTTCTACTAAATTCCAGAGACTCAGCAGGAAGGAGGCAGACATCTTTATCGCTCCATCTACTCTATCTCCCGTGCTAGCCAGGATCATGCTGAGCTCAGGGTAACTACTCACTGAGTGATGTATGCAGTTGAGTGAGGCAGTGATTCCATTAAGCCATTCATTTTACCCCTGGCATGGAGGGATCATTTTCTATTCTGATCATATCTCTCAATAATGGGCAACATAAATGTAGCCCCCTCTTCATTTCTATTCCTAATCGATAACAGGGACAGTGTCAAAGCTTAACCCATCCAGAAACTTACCATCTTTTTTTGGCCAAGAAGTACAGATCTTCTCGCTTTCTCTTGTCAGAGATAACAACAAGCTACTTGTTCTACATTTTCCTCATTAATTTTCCTCTACCCACATTCCTGGGAAGTGAATAGGAA